CCAAAAGACACATGATAAAAAAATTTAGCCACGTTATATTTTTTCTGTTAATATAAAACAATGAAAGATCAGAATAACATACTCGCACGCTGGACATAAGTCCAGAAAGTGGCATATCTCTAGAGGATGGAAGCACGATTGTGACGAATGCAATCATCAATCACATCTATATTGTAAAACGTGCAAAAAAGTAGCGGATAGGATATATAAACGATGTGAATGTGATAGTTTCAAGTTCCTAACTCATCTATTATATCTTCGAATAATTATAAATATAATAAAAATAAATTTCCGTCACGAACTTACGTGACGATCAATGCTGTAATGATAGTTCTTACTGACAACAAATTCGAATAAAAATTCTGCATGCAGGGACCGTGATTTATTTAAAATATTTCTTTATGTTACGGAAAAATACAATATCGATGTATGCTACAGCTAGACTAATACTGCGCCCTGGTGACATGGTGTCCCGCCTCGGCAATTAGAAAAATATTGTTTTCTTGCAGTTGTATTTCAAAAAAATATATTATTAAACCATTTTATAAAAGGTTTACCCATATCGGGCCTAGTGACATATGTTAGAATTATTTCGCATATAAAATCTATGTATCACCTAAGGCTTATGCATAACTTATTTGTGAGACGGGGCACAATCTCAAAGTGCCATTTTTCATTTTTCGGCCGGGGCGCCCCGGCTGAAATTAGTACCTAACCAAAGTCGGTCAATTAACTCATGCCACATATCGATATCAAATATTTTTAACTTCGATGTATATGCATGACTACGTTGATATTGGTGCACATCCATCAGTTAAACATTGACCCAATATATTTACCTCAGTAGTTAAAAATCTATCAAATTCCGATTCAGTTAATTAACACATCTTTATATGTAAAAGTCTTTCTGATAAAAGCATTCAGCAAGAATCGTGATTTGTGTATATTTCAGGATTTTGCTCGAAAATTTTTGGCTGTTCCACGCATTGTAGCTATTGATATTGCATTCATCTACATTGACCCAATATATTCTCTCCGAAGCATGTTTTATTGTTATAAGAAAAATTCGAGTCAATACTGTATCACATTACGTAAATGACATAATAAATATATATATAATTTTTTGCAGTGTACATACCAGTATTTCCAAATGCAGGGTCGACTTCTGAGATTTACTAGTTACGTCGGGTATTGTTATGACGGAACAATGATATTATTCTGTTATTATGTATTCAAAATCACATGTATTATCAGAGATTACGATTAAAAAATGCACGCGTGATCTGTTGTACGACAATCTGATTGTTTGTATAAACTATATTTCTTACTAAAAAAATTCTTCGTCCTATCCAAAAACTAAATACGTAAATAACTATGTCTACTGCCAGAGAAAAAGCCCCTCTTCCTACAGCTAACGAAGTAGAAGGATGGACTGAAACAGAAAAACTAATAAAATTTTTGGCCGACCAAAACTTAGGACTTGATGATGATGATTTCGATATTCTTCGTAAACAAAAAGTTAATGGCAAATCCTTCCTTAGATTGAATGTGGATAAGCTTATAGCTCATCCTTACAATCTTCCTGGTGGACCAGCTGAAGTCATTGCTGAACTTATTGAAAAAATCAAGGGCGAGGACCAGGGTAAGTAGTACCACGACTGCATTCGAATATTCCAAACCTATACTGCTTTCTCCGCAATAATTTCATTTAT